AAAGATGTTGAACAGCACTGGACCCAGTGCTGTTCAAAAGATAATGCTGTACAAAAAATAATGTTTTGACAATTCAAGTCTCGTCTGACTGGAAGATGAGGAAAAAATGCGTGAGTGAAGCCTGAGAGGAGATTGCAGTAATTAAGGAGGATCATGGATTAGCCCCGGTTCACTTAAAAAAACCCAGAGTAAAAATAAACATGTTTGTTAAAATGCCTGTACCAAACAAGCTGCTGAAGGGTATGAACCACGGCAAGCAGAGAAAAGCCAAGAAAGGTTGCTGCAGTCTGAGGACGCACAGTATTTTTAGGCTTGCTTTTGTACTCAGTATGATTTTCTTTCTTTCAGTGTGATAGTTGTCAAACTGCCTGCCAGGCATCTGCAGAACCCTTCCTAGTGAGCTGTAGAGGGAAGACTTTTGAGAGCCATGCACTAGGGGACTAGTAGATGATCCATGGGAGGGTGTTTTTTAAGAAAAGGGGTGAAAGAGTTGGCAGACTACTCTTCTAATGCATAATATGAGCTAACTCACAAAAGAAGGGATGAGAAGGAAGGAAGAAGTGGAATCAGTGATGGTCCCACAGAAAAAGAGGTCTTCATGATTTTTCACATATTGTTTGGGGACGAGTATCTGAAAAATAAATAGTAGTACTTAAAACAATTTTCAAAGCACTAGAGAATCTAAGAAACACAAAAGAAATAAGAGTGCAACTGGACCAGCATCAGAAATCAGAAAGTGCTATCATAAATTAGAAATCATTTATCTCTTGTCATTGCACAGCCATGGGCTTGAGGCCTCACAATAGTCAGGAGTTCCAAGAGGTACCAGATGAATGCATGGATGATAAGGCCGTTGCTTGCTATTAAATGCACCTTCGGGCTCAGGAAGTCTTTAAATTGTTGATTACCAGAAGCAATAAGGCTACAGCAAGGAAAGGATCACTCTACACATGCTCTCCTCTTCTGTAAGCATCTGTTACTGGTCACATTGCAAGATAAGGTGCTAGGCTGGCTGGATCTTTGGTGTGGCTATGTCAGGATTTATTGAGTTAAGGTCATGAACTTGGCTCTTTGGCTCATATTTCTAGGGATTGGGTTCTACAAATTTTGGAAAACATTAGCTTTTTTTTTTTTGTGTAGGAAGAGCAGCCTCTTTCCTTCCTTTAAAAAAAATGCAGGAAATAATAATTGTCTGGGTTTTGTGACTTTTACAGTTATAAAGATAAAGAATATATCATTTTTTCCAGAAGACCCTCATGGTGAAAACTTGACAAAAACCTGTCCTTTGAACATCTAAACTTGAAGCTCTTTGCTTTTGTGCAGGTAGTTTTTATCATTAACTTGCTTAAGCTGTAAGCATTAACTGCCTTAACTAGCACCTGGATGAAATAGGGGAATGGAAGTTAGTATCATGGTGTTTATATATCTGATGGATATCTGAAATCCACATCACTGGAGTGTACAGTTGACATGCCTCAGACAAGACCAGAGAGACAAAATATTTCCATTATTATTTCATTAGAAATTGAAATCTGTTTTGGAGAAGTCAAAGGCTATATAGTACAGCTCACATCACAGCCTTGTGTTTAAAATGTTACAATGTTGACTTGCTGTTACAAAAATTCAGTGTTACAGGAAATCAGAAACAATATGGAATAGTTTACACTAACTCTGCATTAAAATGTTCCATCTGTTCTTGCTTTAGGTTCTTAGAGAATTGCTTTTTCATCTCTGTAATGCTTTTCACTTCCTATTAGTAAGGCTTTTAAAGGTAGGCACTGAGTTAGTATAAAACCCACAGCTTTTGAGTTTAAACGCCTATTAAAACTAAAGCTGTCTGGAACTACAATAAAAATTTATTTTGGCTACAAAAGACAACTTTGAAACCTAACCCATCTGTATTTTTCCTCCTCCAAACAGTGCAACATCCTGTATAACAGAATATTTATCTTAAACAGAGACCACATATCTTTATGAAAACAATTGTTTCAACTTAATTTATGGGGGGTAATCAGCTCATATTAAAGTTTTTGGTATTCCAGGATGCTAATATAAATTGGTTACAGGAGGTGTAACAACTAGAGTAATTCCACAGAATAATCTGAAATCTGATGTTGCTGTTGACGTAGAATGTAATTTGTGTATATTATAATCTAAAATTGCAATTAAAAGAATCACGTACAGGCATATATAGTGATTGCAAAACAACTCTGTGTGTGCAAATTAGGCATACAACTTCAGCTACATTTTACTGGTCATTTAGGCTCATGTATGGTGAATTCAAAATTTGATTACAGTTTAATTCCACCAGAATAATTTATTTGAGTTTGCCTCTGCAATCCCTGGGCCCGCCAGGGAGACACACATATCTAGTAAGGCTGCTTGGTCAGTGAATTTATCGACTCAAACACAAATTGACTGACTGTGAAGAGCAGAAGAGCAGTGTTTCTGGGGTGCACGACTGGGAGTTAAACCTATCGAAGAGAGACTGGATCCCTGGGGTTTGCTCCCTCCATACAATAGTTTGTCAGATTTTGAATTGAAAAGAGATGGGTTTAGCACTCTCTAAATACAACCAGCCCTGAAACTCCCACTGAGATTCCTTTCTGTCTGCCTTCAGAGGATGAGATAAGGCCCCTTCTCTTGTGACTTCAGTCTGGAGTACCTCTATCATCCCCACCCCAACCCTGATAACTGCTGGCTTTGCACATATTTGAGAACAAGACACAATCTGAGTTTTGTGGGATTTGCTACTCTTTCTGTAGATGACAGCCTGCCTCTGCAGAGCAAACCTCCTCTGTACCTGCATCATCTGGTTCAGTGAAGCCAAGTGCTGGGTCCTGCCCTTGGGTCACAACAACCCCAGGCTTTGGGTAGAGTGGCTGGAAAGCTTCCCAGCAGAAAAGGACCTGGGGGTGTTGGTTTGGAGCCAGCAGTATGCCCAGGTGGCCAAGAAGGCCAATGGCATCCTGGCCTGTATCAGAAATAACGTGGCCAGGAGGACTAGGGAAGCGATCATCCCCCTGTACTGGGCACTGGTGAGGCCACACCTCAAATCCTGTGTTCAGTTTGGGGCCCCTCATGACAAGAAAGACACTGAGGTGCTGGAGCAAGTCCAGAGAACGGCAACGAAGCTGGTGAAGAGACTCAAGAACAAGTCCTATGAAGAGCAGCTGAGGGAACTGGGGTTGTTCACCCTGGAGACAAGGAGGCTCAGGGGAGACTTTATCCCTCTCTACAGTGACCTGAAAGGAGGTTGTAGCGAGGTGGATGTCAGTCTCTTCTCCCAAGTAACAAGTGACAAGACAAGAGGAAATGGCCTCAAGTTGCACCAGGGGAGGTTTAGATTGGCTACTAGGAAAAATTTCTTCACGAAAAGGTTGTCAAGCACTGGAACAGGCTGCCCAGGGAAGTGGTGGGGTCACCATCCCTGGAGGTGTTTAAAAGACATGTAGATGTGGTACTTAGGGACATGGTTTAGTGGCGGACATGGCATCGCTCAGTTAACGGTTGGATTTGCTGATCTTAAAGGTCTTTTCCAACCTAAACAATTCTGTGATTCTATGATTCTATCACAGACCCATAGCAAGACATTTTTGACATCCAGGTGGTAACTGACTCCCTTAATTCTCTGGCCAGCTTCCTCACACTGGACAATCTCCTTTTCTGCCCCTACTCCTTCCTTTTTAGACCTCCTCCTCATGCTCAATATTACTTGCATGCAGCATCGAAGTTGACATACATTTTCCCCCCTTCCTCTCCCCTTTTTCTCAAGAACACCAAGACATGCAAATTATAGATGCTAAAGTGGCCTTTATGTGTGCTGCGGTATACACGGGATGTTCTGCCTACTTGCATGTGATTCACATCCTCCTGAGCCCACAGGAAATCCCAGCACTATTTTTCCAGGCGTATCTCCTGTGCTGAGGTGCTGAGCACAGCAGGGGCTGGAGGAAAGGCACCATTTCTACTTTGGAAGTACTGTGGTACGGAAGTTTAGCTGGGAAGCACAGACCACTGTTACTTAGATGTAGCTCTTTGACTCAGTGACGGTGAGAAATGTAGCGCGAGGACTTCATGCTATCTCCCTAAGTATTTACTCACATTTTACGGTAACATATCCATGAATCCTCTTACCTCAGTAGATCCAGTAAAAGCAATCTTATCAATGCCAACATGAGATGCTATGGCTGCACCAACAATCGGACCAAATCCTGGCAAAATATTGACAACTCCTGGTGGAAAGCCAGCCTGTCAGAACAGGAAGGAAGGGAAGCAGGATTTATGAAAACTGACAGAGCATGTTAAACCGGGCATGTGCTGGTAGTTCCTTCCCCACTAGGAGAGACAATGACATTATTCCTGTCAATTATTCTTACCTCCTTGATGAGGGCTCCCATATAGAGCGCGCTGAGTGGTGTTTGTTCTGCTGGTTTAATAACTACTGTATTGCCACAGCACAGAGCTGGAGCAATCTTCCATGCAAACATCAGCAGGGGGAAGTTCCACTGCAGGAAAAAATAAAAGTTGATAGATGGAAAAATATCGCAGTGGTGTTTTGTTTTCAAGATGTCAAGCTGCTACCCCACTTACTTCTCAGGCTGATCCTCAACATAAATCTTTCCCAGCACAAAGCAAGGATTTTTTATAATTACTGCCATTAAGGAAGCAACAACAGTGACCTTTTAGTTCTTTCTCTCATGTTCAAACAAAGACAGCCCCCACCCGCAGCCTTCATAAAAGAATTTTCTGTTATCTCTTAATTTTTGTAGTCACAACTTTTTATTTCATTTACTGTTTTGCAGCTGGCACTTTTAATTCCCCATGGCAAGTAGTTCTTGCTTCTGATACACTTGGAAAGAACTGTTTATTCATGTTGAAGCATTTTTGGATGTAAATTTCCTACCCTGGAATATGTCTTAAGATATAAAATATGTACTGAAAATTATATAATCCTTAATTGAGGGGCTTACAGTAAAAAAGCCCTGTAAACGTCAGCAGTCAATCAAAGCATTTCATTTTCTTGAAAACTTCTTACTGAGCAATTAAAAAGTTAAAAGGACATTAAAAGGGCATTAAAAAAAACCTGAGAAACACTCTTTGCTGATACAAAATTTTGTACTGTCATTAATTTCAACTTTAACTGTAGCAGAACATGTAGTGAATTATATTTGTTTGATGCACAAACAAGTTACGGATAAAGGTAAGAGTACTAAGCCTTTCTGCATCAAGGCCTGATCCTAACAGGTTGATAGTCCTGCTGATTTCAGTGGGAATGTCAGAGTAATAAAATAACTGCATTGGCACAATGACTCTTATAAATGCATATAATAAGCTCCTTCAGAAAGAAAATAGTCACAAAGAGTCAGCCACTGGCCAGAACACGTTATTGCCTGATGCATATCAGCTGCCACTCTCACAGACATCTCTCTAGCCCCCGGCTAGCTTGAAAAAATACACAACTGTCTTTCCTTCACGGAACACCCAATTCTTTACTCCCTCAGTTGTTTATAAACTCCGGAGACAAAGTGATGTTTTAATTCCATCTCCAGTATATAAACCTGGGAGGGGAGCTCTAGGGCCAACAGTGCGCTGACAGCCTGCACTTCTAATGGTACTGCAAGGAGAGCTCTAACAAGTTTTATAGGGTAGTATATAGCCCTGTTTATGCTACAGAGCTGCCAAAGAGCATATGTTTTGATGGAAGCTAGGATGTGAAAGGGGATGAGAAGTTTAGTGTTAGGCTTGCTGGTTAATTTTATTTTTCTAGTAATGTATTTGCTAGTATAATGGCTAAGTGTCTGCAGCAGCCTGGGGGCTGTACTCTGGGACTGGTAGCTGTGGAGGAGATACATAACAAAGATGCATATGACAGACGCATTGAAGTTGTGGAGGACAGGCTTGGGGAAAGATTGAACAAGCCGGTTAGCTCAGTCGATTAGAGCGTGGTGCTGATAACACCAATGCCGCAGGTTCGGGCCCCATTCGGTCCCCATGTGTTTGTTGGCTGATCTAGCTGAGAGGTGTCCCTGCCCATGACAGGGAGGCTGGATTAAATGATCTCCAAGGTCCCTTCCAGCCTAGGCCATTCTATGATTCTATGAAGTATGGCTGGGTACCCTGAGCACAGAGTCTAAATAAATGCTGCTTTTGGCATGATCTTTAGCTCGTGGCCAAGTTTCTTCAACAGATCTGTCAGACAAGCCTCAGAGACGCAGCTTTGGGGCTGGATGTTGGGGCTGTCATTTTGCAAATGGTTATGCTTGTGCTTGGTTGAAGAACGGGGCTGGAGCTGTGGGAATCGCTCATTCATTGGTAAGGAGCGCTCGCGAGTCCTTAGCAGAGGTGTTTGCAGGACGGGTGTAGCCACAGACCAAGTCCTTGGCAGGGCTCTCTGAATTTCTATGGAGTACCAAACACAATAGCCACCCCTTAACAAAGACATGAAATAACAACAAATATGAACAGGGAAAAAGGGCTTAACGTTGTTAAAGTAATCTTTTCTGGATGCGCCTCTTTTAATGGAATTGCTGCATGTTGCTGTTTAGTGGCTTTGTGGTTAACATGAACAAAACAAAAAAACTAACATCAAAAAAAATTTAAGAGAATGTCCTGATTAGTTCCCCAGTGCTTTGTCAAGGAAAAAAAAGCTTCCACACAATATTTTAATAGCCATATGTGAGCCTCCCATTGAAATTTCTGCCAAAGTCGGTTAACTGGTTCTCCAAAAAAGTTAACTTCTCAGTGTAATTCCCATGCAGTGTTCTGCAAGAGTATATTAAGGATGTGTATTGGGGTATAGGGGGAGTATTAGATTTGATGAAATGTTGTGTTTCTCTCTCATAACAAATAAAATAAACATTTCATCTCTTTTATGAGCTACACAATGTTAATTGTAATGATATGTCTCCTGGAGTTTCCTTTTCTCCTCCAGCCTTGTAAAAGAAATAGCAGGAAAGAATGGAATTGAAATGCATCACATTCTCCCAGGAACTGAGGAGCCTGTTAAATCACAGTAAAAACTAAATAAATAAAAAGACTACCACAGCAAAGCATCAATTTTCCATAAGTTGTGTGAACATCCATAACCACTGACAGCATATTAACACTGTGTTTTGCTTTGCTTGTTTTAATCATGAGAATTCTATGACTTGAGAACTTAACTCCTAATAACAGAGCCTAAACCCTATTAGCATGTTCAAATAAGCATTTGCAGGGAGGCTGTTAAAGATATGTCAACAATATGAGCTCAGCTTTTTTCATAATGGAAAACACACATAGCTGAGGACCATGTTTTATGTGTCTTTAAAGAGAGCTGGTTCAAATGAAAATAAATAGAAAGTGCTAGTAGAGATACTCACAGGGATGATCTGTCCACACACTCCAATGGGTTCGTGTCTTGTAAACGTAAAATAATCTCCATCTGAAACAGATGAGCGTGGTTACTCTCAAGTGCAGTTTGACTTGGCAGAACAAAAAAAAAACAACTATAAAAAAAGCTCTAAGGATCAGCCTTTGATGACAGTAAAAGAAATAAAGAAGTCGTGGATATGTTTTTTCATGAGCCAGCATGGGAAACCTAGGTTTGGGAGCAACATAACTGTTCTTTCTGTAGAAGAGAGGAAGCAGGCATCCCATCAGAAAGTAACCTGCTTTGTTCCTTTGGGAAGAGGACAAGCAGTATCGCACAAAAAGGGCAGTGGCAAGGAAGCCACATACTCGCCTCTGCTGATTTCAAGGTGAAAGATGTGAAGCAAGAGTCGCGAAGGCAATTTGCTGAAAGGCGTGACTGTCACACAGCAGTATGAAGGTACATACACAACAGACGTGGGAGAATAGAGTAACGTACATATCGCTTGTCTTCCGCTGAAGACACAGGCGCTTGCTAGTAACGGAATGATACACCACACTCTCTAGATGTGGAATTGAGTGTAATTCACTGCAGAAGATGACACAAAGGAGAATAAAAGGGCCGTCATACAGCCACACTCTGATAGCTGACTTGTAGAACAAGGCCTGCATCAGAAATGGCCTCAAGCGAAATAGGCAGTCAGTGTAAGTTGACAGCGAAAAGTTGGAGGCAGCTAGAAAACAAGGTAACAGAAAAGTTTTACAAACCTTTTGGGCAAGGTAGAGGTGCATAAATAAATGAAGGGACTGAGTCACTGGAAACATGGAAATTACGGGCTTTTCTTGCTGTACTTTTGACAGAAGTAAGAATATGGACTAAGAAAGATCCTAACGACAAAGATGCAAGGAAAGCAGACCGCATGTTCCCAGACAGCAGGTGTGGATGGTGTGAGGCTAAAAGCAATTAGTTAATTAACTCTCTGATCTGGTAATTATTTGTAAGTTCCTGATGAACAAAAATAACAAAAAATGCCAGAAGTGGGAGGCATTGTTAGTTGAAGTGAATGCTACGCCAGATCTTCAGCCCTTAACTAAAGCACTGTTGAGCTCAGGGCAGCCTGAGTCAGGTCACGAAATAAACAGATCTGTGATTAGGGGTCAGGCCTGTGGTCAGTGGGAACCCTTTACGTGTCCCGGCCTGCTCCAAGCAACAGGTCTCCCTGCACAGCTGGAACAAGCGGCCATCACGGGGGCTGCTGGAGTTCATGCTCTTTCACAAGGCTGCACAGTTGCTGCTGCTTCAGCACTGGCCTGTGTGCTGGGAGTACACGCTGAGGTTATACCTGCTGTGATACGAGCTAGATTTCTTCCCAATTGGTAAAGACCTTCTCTGTGTGTGGATTGGACGAGCTATGTAGCCATCAGCTTTGTTTGTGTGTGTGGCCTGCATCTGTGCATTTATAGCACTTTTTTACTTAAATTGAGTCCTGTATCTGTATAAACTAGTCCAGGATAAAACCACTTCTGCATGCAGGTGAGATGTTTTTCAGCGATGCTACAGCTGAGGGAAGGGCTGAGCTGAAGGTGTGAGCCGCTTGTGCCCCTTGGCCTGCAGTGCTTGGTCACCTAGAAAAACCTGTGTCTAATTGGAAAAATGATTTCCACTGTGTGAGGATGATGAGAAGGTTACCTAGGCTCAGTCACAGGAGATGATTCACCAGGACAGGAAATGGTCAGACAGAGGAAAGGAGTAAGAGGAGGGGAGGTTACGGTGCTTTTCGTCATCAGTGTCCAATGCAGAGGCACGTGCTTCCCTTCTCCTGGTGTCAGAGCAAGTGGGCAGCTGTGGCCTCTACCCCGTTCAGTCTGGAGCTGCAGCCAGTCTTGTTCAGGATCAGGGAAAGACCTAACTTCACAACAGAGAGCACATTTGGGGGACCTGCTGCAATGTCCTGTACTCTACATCTGGTAACAATAAATGGGTTAATCCATAAAGCTTCTTGGGTTTAAGTAAAGACTTCAACTTGAATTTGATTAGAAATAACTTATTTTCAGGTCTGTATATCTGCTTTCTGTACGTCTACTTTACAGGATTTGCTCAGTAGAAACCTGAGCTAGAGTAGCTAATACATCGGCTGGGGGCCAGATACAGAGTAATTATGAGAAAAGTAACAATAGTCTGCAGCCAAGACAAGGGGTAGAGCAGAGGAACTAAAGGAGGGAAGGAGAGAGAAAAAGAGATTCCTGTCAAGAAAAGGAGGAAGAAAAATAGCTGATCAGTTGGTTTGTTCTGCATTGACAAAATGTCATTGCATCGTTTTGATCTCTAGATGCTTAACAGCTTCCCAGTGGAAATGAGAATATTTATGTCACCAAGATGAACAGTTTCATTTTCCATGTTGTCTTTTGTCTTTTCACACTAGCAGTGGTTCACAGACTATGGGAAGAACCATCCGACCAGACAGAAGTAAAGTAGACGTTCAAGTAGAGACAAGTATATACAGGCAAAACTAAGTGCTCAAGGGGCACATAGAGAAGTCAGCTAAAAATACCGTCTTGTGCTCAGTAGTACTGTGAGAGGTGGATTCTCAGCCAGAAGGATGGTGACAACATAACAGTACCACAGTTACGTTAGCGCTGTCTGACTTTAGATTGTCACTGCATAATCACCGCCACATGGCTGCGTGCTTCATAACACGATGTTATAGATAACCTGAACTTGCTTGCCAAGTCAGACAAACGGTGGCTAATTGTACTGAATGTAGGCAGAACGTTCCTTCCGCAGAGCAGTCCCTCCCATGCAGAGTTGCTTGCCCTGCTTTCTGCCACTAGACTCTAGACAGCTGCCCTTTTTGTCACCTACTTCCCAAGTTCATCATCCACAGACTTACAGTTAGGATGGGGTTTTCGAGGTTGCTTTCTAAGAGTAACTATGTGAGCATAAATGAATTGAAGTTACTCAGAAACCTCAGATGGTTCTGGACAGGCCAAATATGTACCAAAGAGCTGCCTTGTTCACAATGTAAAATAAGCTGTTACCATGGCAAAATTACAAGATTGATGAAGCGAATCACTTTCTCTGAACAGTGAGCACAGAAAGCTCCCCTGTGCTCAGAAATCAAATAGGAGAGTTTTAAAATGTTGTAGAGTTTTGAGATGAATTTACACAAGTCATGCTAATTACACTTATTCAAAGATGCTGTTGCTGGTGATTGTCACTTTTGTCCTTCTAGTAGGTGGCAGCAAGAAGAATGTTGCCTGAGAGGGATCCGACAGTCTGATCCCACATCCAGTCTAAAAGTGTGTCTTGAAAGTGGGGATTTTTAAACAGTTCTGAGACTGTTGATGTAAACTGGCATTCTTCAGTCCTCACTGATATTAGTAGAGCCAGATCAATTTGCAGCTGCTTAGCACCTGGCCCAGAGATTTTTATTTTTTAATCAGAAAGAAAGCCCCATTTATCCGGAGATCTCACCTTGGGAGAGCAATACCTTCCACAGATGGGTTTGCTCAGATTTCTGTCAGGAGTCTCCATCTTGGATATTTTATTTGCATAAAAATCATAACAGGGTCACATGCCTCATATCAGAGGGCACAGCAAACAAGTGGGTGAGGAGGGCTGGGTTGGTTCTTTAAGTACTATACTATATATTGAATTAAAGGTACATTTTGCTTGCATTCAGTTTATTAGTTTAACCGTTTCTAGTCTAGCCTCATTCTGTTTTAATTTAAATCATCAAGGCTTTATGCATGGGAGCAAACACAGGGCAGCTGGAAGGTTTTAGCAGCTCTGGGACCAAAAGGAATGTGACTATAAAATGCACTGTTCTTCTACTTGTCTATCACTTGCCTATTTTTATTTTACAGGAAAAGAAAACCTCAGAAGAAACAGATAAAAGATTAGGAGATTTCAGGTTTATTAGCACACTGAACAGAAAGAGAAGGAGATTTAACAGGATTTTTATTTTGTTTTTTTTTCTTTGTCTTACGTGGTTTCCTTTGATGAGCTGATAGTAAGTAAATGTAAACACCACCATTGTTAAACACTGGTCTTGCTCTAAAATATAGCTTTATGAGAATGACAAATTTATGGTGTGAAACTAGTGGAATACAGAGGAGTGTTAAACCAAGAGAAAGAACTAATTGATACCCTGAAAATCAGTGAATAGACATGATTCTACACTACTCCTAACTGTGTGTGTTAGCACTGAAGTTTGCATTAAGCAAGGCAGGCTGAAAATGGGCCCTTCTTTCCCCAGCACAGCCCACCTCACTTAAAAAAAAATATCAGTGTTTTCATCTCATACATTACCTGAGCACAAGAATAAGCAGAAGAATATTTATTCTCCTTAAGCTGGCAATGCCTTTTTGTGACTGACCTAAATTCTGTGTACCTATGGGGCTAACAAGTGAGAAGGGAACATTCACTGACCAGGGAGGAAGATTAAGGAACAGGAAATTTGCTGAACATAAGAATTTATGGTGTGCTCTGTGCTTTTTGTGACGTGCACGCAGCAAAAACCCAGGATTTATGAATCTCAGCCTAAATGACTGTGGAAATCTTCAAGAGTCCTTACAAGAAAGTCTACACCTGAAATAGTGTCATTTCTTTCCTGAAAAATATACTGGTGATGATAAACATCAGTCAGTACACACAAGAGTTTTAATTAGCTGAAACGCTATGATGAATAATGCTACAGTAAGAGTTGCATAGTCTCTTGTCCTCCTGAAAGTTTTGGGACCACAAATTCAATTTACCTGCTTGCTTAACTTGGATAGTTTTGTACTTTGCTTTGCAGGGGCAAGCTAGTGTACTGCAGATGGCATGTTCGTAAAACTGCAGAATGTAGTTTTATGAAAATACATGGGCAACATCAAAATTCATTTACTTGTGGGTGTGCCTTCCTGGTCTCCTTCATGCGTGTGTGCAAGGAACAGTGTGCACCATGAAACCAAAAGAATCCATAGAATAAACGTCAGTTTTCCCTACTGTTTTTTTCGAAGACTTAATTTACACAGGGAAAAGTTGAGTACATTTATCTTAATGACTTCACCTCTATTAAAACGTTCTTTGCTGTCATATGCCATTTTGCATAATTACAGCAGTCAGTACATCTAGTTCAAACTACAAATGAATGTGTTCACAACAGAAAATGCAGCTAGAAGGGAGGGACAGGAGCAAGAGACTTGTTACACAAAAATAGTACTAAGGATTTTTTCTTTTCTTACCGCTCTAGCAAAAAATAAAAGCAGAATAATTAATTCCATAGCACTCAGAAAGATTGCGCTCATAGATACAATATAAAACTCACCCCACTGAAAAATTTGAAGAATATAAAAAACCCCATGTATCTGATATGTATGTACAGTTCTCTATAGCTACATTACAAACTGTCATTCTATAAGTGAATTTGGATCCACTGTTAGTCCCAAGTAAAATGATTTGCATAGGCAATAAGAAGACATATATGAAGAAGACTTATATGTAAGCATGCCATTTCTTAAACAGACAGCTAACACTGTTTTCATACGTTGCAAGGTATTTATCAGGCTTATACCACAACCGTTTTTATAAGTGTAACAGTACTTAATTTACTATTAAATATTAATATTTAAGTAGGTATTGAACTGTCTCCTCCTCAGATGGGCACATGCAGAAGAAACAAAACACTCTCTAGGATGTGCAAGTAGGGCACACTGTAAGACCAAAGCAAAGTTCTCTTCTCCTTTTCGCGAAGCTGTAATCTATTGGGGCATTTGGTCATGAGAAGGTTTAGGCACATACCTGTGCTTTAATCCGCCTTACCTACAGGAATGGTCACTCCATGGATTTTGTCTGCCCAGCCGGCATAATACCTCAGCGTTTTTATGACTCCCTGAAGATCTACGTAGAAAGCTTGCAAGAAAGGTTTGCCACTGTTCAGTGACTCCATAGTCTAGAGGACAAGAAAAAGAGATAGAAGCACACTAGTAATTTTAGACTGTTGTACTTAAGTATTCACTGTCTTAACAGCTCTTCACTTGTGACCAAGATTTTAATTAAGACTAACTAGTTGGACCTTGGCATAGTCTTAACCCAGAAGGTTCAGAATGACTATATGATCACCTTTGTTACTTCTTTTTGCAAATGTGGGGAAAAAAGCATTTTCCTTTAAAAAAAAAAAAATCTCCTTCCTTCTGGAGCATTCTGGAATGCTGATTTTAAGAACGTGTACGTGCATATGTGCTTATGTGAGTGTGTCTGCCTGTCTGTCTTGTGGGTTTGTGTGTGTATCCACATGCATGTACATGTGCCTATGTGTATTTTGGACCTAATAGCCACTGTGTTTGGTCCAGATACATAAATGCTAAATTGCTTTAATCAGGAGCCAAGCTGAAAATGCCTGTCAAACTGAGTTCTGTTATGTTAATGATAACAGCTGAGAAGGGGCTCCTTGTAACCCCATATTAATGATCTGAATCCATAGAGAGAAGAATGGACATATCCCTCTTTATATAATTGATGTGAATATAAAAATTCTCTATATGGCTGCCAAGACTCCCGCTGAGGTCCGAGATATCTATACTGTACAGCCAGTTTATTTATTGCCATCAAATAAACAAACTCTCCTCTAGGGAAGCTCATAAATTAACAAGCTAATGTCCTTATTTTTAAGTTAATATTCTTATTTTTAAAAGTATCTTATAAGCTATCCTCTTAGGGGTTCCTAAGATCATTTAGCAAAAAGAATCCAATAAAATATTCTAAGATGTTGAGTAGCTTAACTCATTCTCAATAGCTGTCTAATAGAAATTGTTAAGAATGGGCAAAGTACCCCCATGTGTAACACACCGACCATCAAATGAGTTTCTGTAGAGAAGAATGGAGGCCTAATTCTGCACTGACTTATATCCCCAAGAGCAATTAATGGCATTGCCTGCAGGGCAATTCAGTAAAGAACTTGGCTCTAGAAATAAAAATCAAATGACAGGCAGAGTAAACTTGATTTGCTGCGCACTTCCTTCTCCCCATGGCGATTTTACAGTATACGCTGGTGGTAAGATGATTTAAGTGTTGACAAAGCTGGAATTAAGATGTTCGCCAGCTTAGTTCAAAGCACTTGACATGCGGAAAACAACATTAACAATGCCACCGTTTAGGTGGCTTAATTCCTGAGCAAAGTGCTGTGGTACCCAGAATTCATGTTACCAGCTGAGTGTCAGTGAGAATTTCACCTGCCATTTCATCAGCAGCTGCACAAAGAGCCTCACTCGTCTTCCCTTTCTTATTTCAGAAAAGTTTTGAGTGCACTTAACAGGCACACGGGTGTGCGCACCCCATTCATTTATCCAGTGTCCAGTTTAAAGTGAGTCAACTGGAAGACTTACTCACTTCTGTGAGCTTTGGATCAGATCCTAAGTAGGCAGGCAGTCATCTCAGCCAGCGAGCTATGTGTAGTTTTCAAATAAAATTCATGGTAACATATTTCTGAACTAATTTACTTTCAGGATGTAAAACTGACAGGTGATTTGACTGTTGATTTTCTTGTGCCACTTACAGCAAGAACTGCCCTGTCTCTTTCCACCAAGTCCGCTAGCTTATCCAAGAGACGGCCTCTTTCTGATGCATCCATTCTCCTCCAGACTGAACCTAGAGAAAAAGCAAGGCGAGCGGCCCGCACTGCTTTGTCTGTATCAATCTGTCAAGAAGGAAGAAAAAAGCAAAGGCGCAGAGGTAAATAACATTACCAGCGTTACAAAATTTGCTGTTGTACATTAGTCACATGATGGATTTTGGAACTGTGATTAGTAAAAGAATTCTCCAACAGTGCTACTCTGGACCTGTTGCTTTAATCAGTTTATATGTTTCTGCGCATTCCGCAGATGCATTACCTTGTCAGCTTCCTGGATCTCACAGATCTGCTCTCCTGTTGCTGGATTATATACTGGGAATATTCGCCCACTTTCAGAATTTTGCCACTCATTATTAATGAAAATCTAGAAAAGGAAGAAAAGTTATCAGTCCTCCTGCAGGAGCAAACAGTAATGTATATAACAACAAACTCCTTGGAAAGGCTGAAAATTCTAATACAAAAGAGTTGAAACTTATTTATAAATGCCTGTGAAAGTTACGGTTTTCAAGATTTCAGGCTAAGGGTCGGCCCCTGATGTCTTTCTGTATTCTGTGGCAGTGTAACTATAGAAGCAACATCAAACTCTAAATAACTTGGTTGACATTCCAATTTGGTTCAAAAACTGCAAAAAATAAACTAAAACCAGAAATACCTGTATCCAACAAAAAGCCTTGAAACTGCTGGAGACAAGACAAGGATTTGGAGTAATCACTGAATTCAGTGAGTAAACATTTGGTCACTGATACAGCCTTGTCAAGGCTGAATAATCTCAAACATCACAGTTCTTCAATACACAGTCAGCTGATGATGGCTTCAGTGATGGCTTGCAGCACAGAATTAACTTGCTTATCTGCTTGGCACAATGGAAATTGTTAAATTCTCTCCTTGTTGACATCATTTTAATTGTCGTGGGCAAAGCAAATTTGAATTTTAATGGTGCTGACAACAGCTGTGATGAGAGAGGTAATGACAAGCAAGTAGATTTTTACCAGTAGCTGTATACAGGCCAGTTGTTCTCTACCAAAAGACTTTCAAGAACATGATGCAATTATTTATTAGCAAATATGCAAGAGGTCACTCTAGGAAAACGACTGACTGAAAGGTTTTCCAGGTATTCAAACTCTTTCTGTTCTTGACATCTTTCTAAGAACAAAAGTGTTCAAAAAATCCAAGCACCATGTAAGTTCCTTGGAGTTCAGGTACCAATGGTCTTTCGTGGTATCCCACTGAAATACAACTTCAAATCTGTAAGGGGGGGTTCTGGCCTCACTGAAATCACTGGAGGCAGGAGTTCACCCCTACATCGAAGGAATGCTCATTCCCCTTTTTTGCATGAAGGGCTAAGTTGTGGTTATTATAGAGACAGGAACCTTTGGTTAAAGCAAAGCAAAGCCTCGTTCAGACCCTATGACTGTGGCTGAGCAGAAAGCTGAGGGACCCTTCAAAAGATTTGGGAGTCTCAGTTCCAGTCAGAGATACTCAGGTGATAGAAACTGGCCCATCTTTTTTAGAGCATGGAACAAGCATGAATGCTGTATTAAGTATCTGTTCAGTTTCCTCGCAGAACCACCAGAGATGCTGGGACACAAATCTGTCCCATGATTAGGCAGACTAAACATGGCAGTCAGCTTGGTTAAAGTAGTACTTTGCCACCTCTTTAACCTTGCACTTTCTGTGGTCTTACTATTACGCAATAAAGAAGCTGTTGCTTTGGTGCTGCTACATGGCTAAGGTCAGCCAGATGAGCTCGGGGAGATGATGGAATACAGTTTGTACATAAGGACTTACTTAGCTTAAATGGTGTCAGGTTTTTAGTTCGTTTGTTTGTTTGTTTTCTTTATAGCAATGTGTGATGTGGCAAACCCAGGATTTTTTTAAAAAAATATTAAATAATTACCTTTTTTTTAATGTGGAAATGAATGCAATGTAATGCCTGTCTTTTCTAGTCAAAGAATAGCATGATATGATTATAGATCAGCTGCTGATTTGTTAGGCCTGGAATAGAATACCAGCGTGAAAACTAAACAGTTTAAAACTTACTCTAACTTAAGTTTTATCAAGGGAGGAAGGGAGGAGGAAAGGGAAAGGGGCTAGTCATAAATTCATGAGAAGAAATTGAGTTGCAAGGAAAAAAGCCACACCACCATTCTAGCGCAAAAAAAAAAAACTCCACAAAATGCAACTGAGAGAAAATATTGTTCAGAATGCTCAAGATGAACAGTTGCAGCACCAAAGGTACAAAGTGTTCGTAAGAGAAAAGAGCATGGTGAGGACACTGGTGGCATCCTTGTGCGTGTTACAGAAAGTAGAGATAAACTTCACAGTCCTGTTTGCATAAGCGGGTGCAGGTGAATCTGTAGAGGTTCCTGCTACCAGACGTGAGCCAAATGGAAAGCTGTGGTGGTCTCAGCAGTGTACTGGCTCAGGGCCACACTAACTGCAGTGACACTGCTTCTGGTTCAGAGCCGACTCGTGTCTGGCTGACTGAGGATGTGGACAGATGGAACCTGTGCCTGCCTGGAAAAGACTCTGGTGATACAGAACCCAACAATTACACGTGCTTTCACTTTTATGGCTGTATTTCATTGTGGTTCTGCATCTCCCCTGTCCCTCTAGCCTTGACCATTTTGCTGGGTGCCCTTTCATCCATTTCAGAGTCCGTGCTTTCTTTGCTTCCCTCCTTGTTTGTTCTGGTTTTTTTTTTAGAGGTAGCTGAACCCAAGACCTACCACCCTATTACTCATCTATCACTTTCTTTGCACACGGTGTTTGTCTTGAACCTGTTCATGTCGCTGGACTGGAAGCTCCTCAGCCCATGGGTGGTGTGTTCCTGCTCAGTGATTGCACTGCTTTGCAAACTGAAGTACTGGTCCCTGTTATGACATTTTGGAGCTAACCCAGCCAAAATAAGATAATGAAAAAATCACCAGTATGATCTCCAGTGACTAACGCCGTAAGCCAAAAGCCTCGAGTGTATCGTTGTCGCTTTTTAGACTGTAAGTGAAACAAAGAAACTCGGAGATCTGTGACCTATGTGGAAGAAGGATTTTACGGTCATCCTTTCCGCCGAGTTCAGTGGAATGAACTCCACGCCCACAGTGTGTGTGGCGGGTCCGTTGAGGAGGGAGCAGAAGGGAGAAAAGCTTACACCTTCAGGGGCAGATGGACAAAGGAGATGTAAGGATGTTTAAGGTTACAGTATGTACGTAACTATTGTAGGTTCGTTGTGTGATCTGTCTTGAAAGAATAAAACAGTTTGGTTAAGTACAGGAACCTGAGAAGTGGTGGCAACTGCAAGTTGGTACTCCTCCCTTATAGAAGTGGTGTGTTCTTTTTATTAAAGATTAAAAGATGTTAATTACATTTTGCTGAGATGAACATCTGTCATCAGGTTTGCTAGTGCACAGGGCAAGTATTTGTTCTTCAAATGCATTTCACCATAGAAATAAGAAACAGTGCCTGGGAATTACAAAGGTCTTGCAATTCAAGTTGGCTGGAACTATAATGTGTATTATTTTACTGAATGCTCCATTTATCCCATAGATTCAGGAAAAGAATTTAATAGCAAATATTTCCGATAGGACATAGGAGGGATCTATTTGGCATAGAGTTGAAGGCAAGAAAAATTGCTACTGTTAATGGTTATTGTTAGTTTCTTCCCGTTCCACTTTCTATAAACAAGATATTGCCTATACAAGCTCATTACTGTAAACTGAGCACATTTAAATTGGCAGTAAAATCAGAGTATTTACTCTAGTGCGCAAATAAAGTACCTAGTCCCATGTTTTGGAACAGTTTCAAGTCTTGAAATCCAGCAGCTGGCGGCTTTACAAGCACAACCTTACACTTAAATAATTCACTTTTGAAAGTTTTAGGTGTTCTGTGTCAGGTAGTACCATTCAGCCGATCTTCCTACCACCAAGGCGCGGATTCTTTTGCAATAAATTTGCATTCACAGGGGCTTTTATAACTCTTCCAGCACTACTGACTCCAATGGCTGTTGATTAAATGTATATAGCCTGTACATTTAATCTGACTTTCATTATGGCCACTTCGTAAAAATGCCATGAAATGGACAAGTGATGACACATTGCAAGAACAAGGAATCCCTGCAAAGCCTCAAATTGGGTTTTTTTCTGCCTTATTTATAGTGACTGTGGTAAAGGCTACCTCTAAATCAGGGAGAATATTTGACAGCAAATGTTCCTATCTATGGATTATATATAACCCATCCTAAACACTAAATGAAAAAGGGGTAACCCTAGAAAAAAAGAAGGGCTTGCTTCCGTGTAAATCATGCTACAAATTGGACAACACCCAGTGAGTTCATTGTTCAGCCTCAATTGTGAAGGCTATTCACGTTTACTATTCCCCTGGAATCAATGTTAATTAAGGCTGACTGGGGCTATAAATCAGCCTTTGGTTTTTACAGCTTAATTCAGCATTAAGCATATATATGTAAATAAAAGGTAACTGATTAACCACTTGAGTTTTCCAGGAGTTACTGAGGTAATTTGTTTTTGTTTGAGTCTAGAGTTACCTTTTGTGATTTGCAGTAAGGAAAAGAAAAAGTATATATTAAGTCATGAATTAGCTACACGGTGTTGTGAGTAGTTAAATAATCTGGCCTGTTGGGTGCTAGCAACGAAACGGTGCCACAACGGAAGGGGAACATGGGAACACTTGAAAAATTGTGGAACACGTGAACAACCTTTAGTTTGCCATCTACTCACAGAGCACGAATAGAAAAGGAAAGCCTTCCTGTTTGACTTCAGCATCCCTGCCAGCAGTGATTTGGCCGAGAACAATCCCAACCGGCAAAAGAGACAGTGCCTTTCGGCAGGGAGGAATTCCATTGCAGTTGGTGCACCCGGGCTCAAGCAGGAAACCACAGATTGGTTGTTTGCTGGCAACGCCACCGACGGCAATGTGCAGAACAGGGCAGCAGGGGAGGCAGCGGGTGCATCTGTTTGGGATGAGGAGGTTGCAAACAGGATTTACTGTGCAGCTGGATGCTCCCTGTTGCCTCTGTGATCGTGCCCTTGAAGTGTCCTTCTCATGAGATCTCATTATAAAGGTCTCTTGATAATTTCTGTTTCTTTCCAGGTGAAAGATGGAGAGGGCATTGCATGGTCCTGAGAGAACAGGCACATCCCTCCTGGTACTGACCATAACCTCTTCCTCACACACGCACGTGTTCTTGTAGACCTTCTGCTAGAACATCACAAGGTAATGGTCCCACCACTGATTTGCTACATTCAAATTCTGCGCGAGGGTAACTACGTACAACCACTGTTGACAGAGCCCCGTAGGACTAATGAAGGAAGCAGTCTGACCCATCCTATAGGGCACAGTTGTTCGGAG